TTTTTTTTTTTTTTTTTTTTTTTGTAGATACTAACAATGCACTACGTTTATTGTACGTAAATAATTTTCGTATATAAAATATTAATAAAAAATATTATGTCTATGTGATTTATCCGATTTCGGAGGGGTGTTTGAGAGAGAGAAGGGGAGGGAGAGATAAAAGATAAAAAATTTTCAAACTAGATGGTGAGAAAGAAAAACTAAAAAGTTTTTCAACTGGTTTTTACGGTAGTAGAAGAATTTTTGTTCCGTTTTCTCAAAGAGAGAGAGAGAACTTATTCAAAAACAAGGTTAAACAAAAAAAAATTAAGAGATATAAATGATATCCTTGTCTACTTAATTTTCGGCGGACAATCATTTAGTGGAGGATAGGAAAATGTGAGAAAGTATATTACTATGTTATAAATCATAGTTAATACATAGTTGAATAGTCATGACTCTCTGTCTACCTAATTTTCTTAATAATATTTAATATAAATGTACATATTATATTGATTATTTTATTTGATCAGTACATATAATTGTGATTTATAATTATCTTACTCTATAATTTTTCATTGAAACCTATGATTTTTGGTCCTTAAAATATTCAATTATTGTTTAAATGATCCTTAACCAAATAGTCCATTAAGTTTTTTAACGAAAATGGCCACGTGTCATTCCGTCAGACAGTATTACATGATCATTTATGTTAAAAACTTAACAGTATGAATTATTTAAACATTAACTAAATGCTTTAGGGACAAAATTGATATAATGAAGAGCAAACTGTCAAAATATACATATTTTAAAGACTAAAAGTGTTATTTACCCTAAATTATAATATATTACTCTATAATATATATTTTAAAAGAATATTAAAATTCTAAAATTCAAGTTTTACTTTAAAATACACTATAATTTTTTTATATAAACTCTTAATAAAACATGAAAATATTACAATGATTGAAGAATTATGTTAATTTAATATAAATTATTTTTAAAAAATATGTTAAAGATTATTTTTTATCTTAAAAATAAAATGGTAAAAATGTAATCTTATTTTGGATAAAAAAATACATATGTGTAAGTATAATGTTATTTTTATAATTGAAATGAATCGTATTATATTAATGAAGTTTTTGAAGATTTTGTTTGAACGTTTTATTGAGAATTGTTGTGATGCACATATTTTTTAAAGGTAACGTAGCTAATTAAAAAATTTCATAGATACTGATATTTATAGATAACAAATAGATAATTAAAAGAGATGTCAGGGATAATTTGGAGATTCAAACACATAAATATATTATAATAATTTAGATATTCGACTACATAAGGACAGTATGATATTTAAAATTATTTATAAGAATAAAATAGTGATTAAGAAATTTTCATGCTAATACAAAAGTTTCATTCTTTATTAAATAAGTTTTTGAACACTTTATTGAAAACTATAATGATGCATATATTTTATTAAGGGTAATGTAGTTAATTAAAATTTTTCATAGATATTGATATTTATGCAAAAATGATAGAGAATTAAAAGAAATATTAGAGGGTAATTTGAAAATTTAAATAAATGAAGATGTAATTGTAATTTAAATATTTGACTATGACAAGATAGTATGGTATTTAAAATTTTTATGAGGATAAAATAGTAAATTAAAATTTTTTCACTTAAGATAATTTTATTACTAGTATAGATTAATTAAAATATTGAAGATCAAAATAAGATAAATTCTATACTTTGGAAACCTTCGTTACAATTAATATAATCTAAGGAGGTTTCAAGAAGATTTCCTCAAACAAGACCCATTTCCAGGACTTAAATACTGGATTAGCCGGCTTTATACATGAAAAGACTAATAGAAATCAAATAATGAGACAACAACGAAAAGATAAATAGCTTATACACTATCATCTAACCTTGCCAATTCAGTCAATTCTGCAACTGCCTCGTTCTCCAAGCTTAACAAAGGACGGCCACAGTGTGACAGAAATTGGTACAGTAATCACAACTAAACTAAAATCCTCACGGCTGAAGTGATGGCAAGCAGCTCTTCCTCGGTAACTTTTTTCCACACACCACCAACCAGCAACTGCCCTTTGACACCTTCCGGTGACATATCTTCCTTACCATTCGATTCACAACCCTCTTCACTTTCCTTCAGTTTTTTAACACTTGATTCATCCAAAAGTTCAATAGCACAATCAGCCCCTCTCTTCCCACTACAGTGGTTTATTTCGCAGTGGCCTATGCTTTCAGAAGATTTCTCTATTTTACAGTCATCATTGCAGTCTAGAACAGGAAGATGGCCAGAAGAACGAAGACTGTGAGGCAACATACCAATTGGACATGGATTCCATGATTTTGCCACAGCCCACATTCTCCGATTCTCCATGTCTCCATCTGTGGTTTTTACATAGTTGGCCTTCATTCGGTGAAGTTTAATATTCTCTAGCTTTGCAGCTGCTTGACGGATGGAATCCTCTTGCTGCGAAAGGAAGCTTTCGAAACTAGTGAGGGAAGAGTTCTCTTCATGAGTGTCTCGATTTGATAGACCTAACTTGCACAGCTTATTGAGCTTCTCAGCCAGTGGGCTGTTTCCCATCATATTCGCAAGATTTAGGGCTGAAGAGATCAGCTGGTGGTTGTCAGAAGATGATACCAGAAGACATTTACGTAAAAATTGTGCTAGAGTATCCTTTGGCAGATTCAGCTTTGTAGAAGAAACTTCAGTCTCAGCTGCAGAACTTTTCTGGTGAGTGGGTTTTAGTTGCTTGAGATTATGTACAAGCCACCCAAACAGACAGGAAAGTTTGACTTTGCAAAACTCTGTGCTCTCCTCGTACAAGAGATGCTGTCCTTCTGATGAAAATCAACATAAATAGTTTTCAAAGATATACCAACTAAGATTTGGTAAGACTGCCAAATATTGAAAAACATGTAACACTGCAACACCGAAAAATCCACAAGATAAGTTACTCGCTTCTATTAGCAGAGCAAGCTCGTCTTCAGTGACTTGCCCAACAATTGCGTAATACATGGATAGTATGCTTTTGGTTCTTTCGCTTAAGGCAAGAACTAGACTTAACAAATTGTAAATGAAGATATTCAATCTAATGAAAAGCTATGATCAACTGTTGTATAAATCTAATATATAACAAGAAGTGCAAAGATTTCAACATCCTATTGCAGATATGGCATTTATCAATGTTTTGTTGCAAGTGAGCCTCAAAAACCTTCCATCACCAAAATAGAGGTCAAAAGAGTTATCCAAAGGGAGAAGACTTCCAATACACTTAATGTTGCTTATATTGTCTACTGATGCCATTAACGATTTCACGGAAACAGAGAAATTCACGATGATATCAGAGTTGCATACTACAGGATAACATAGTTGAGGCATTCTCTGAGACCAATTTCCAATATCTAACAAAAGAAAATAGCGATTTCCTTGTATTATAATGGTGCCTCTCTCAGAAGGCCATCTACAAAGCAATAAACAAAAATTTGAATGACTGAAAGCCAAAACTATGGAAACAAGGTTGCAGAAGAACAAATTGGTATTACCTCTTTCATATTTCCTGGCTTCCTGAGTCTCAATCAAATCAATTACAGCACTGAGAAGAGTCAGAAGCAACTCTGGTTCTTGATTTGATAATTTGACAATGACGGGCTTCCAGCCATTGAATAAAGTATGCAAATTATCAGTACTATGGCGGTCTTGAGAACTCATTGGCAGCTCTACCAGATCTGAGGAATCCAATGCCTTCAGCAAGAACTCCAATAACACAGATNGGGCTTCCAGCCATTGAATAAAGTATGCAAATTATCAGTACTATGGCGGTCTTGAGAACTCATTGGGAGCTCTACCAGATCTGAGGAATCCAATGCCTTCAGCAAGAACTCCAATAACACAGATACTACTTCGGCAGGGAAGGAATAATACAACCGAATGAACTTCTTCACCGACTTCATGATATGTTTCTTAGAACCTGAAAAATACAACTATTAACTAAGTGCAATAAGTCAGATCAATGCCAAACATGTATGAGTGTTTCTCAACACGAAGTATGTGAAAAACGAGGAAACATAGCGCGCACACATTCAATCAAAGAGGATAGACTACTCTTGAATAAGGCTAGATCCAAGAAACCATACTTCTCTGTGAGACCCTTTTTTTTTAATTTTTTTTTAGGGAGGGGGTAGGGGTAGGGGAATAAATGTGAATTCNACTGTGAGACCCTTTTTTTTTTTTTTAATTTTTTTTTAGGGAGGGGGTAGGGGTAGGGGAATAAATGTGAATTCTTTACTGTGAGACCCATACTTCATTGTGAGACCCTAAGTTCTAATTACAGGAATGTAAATGTGAATTCTTTCCAAAACTTTGTTTGGAGGGCAATGAGGAAGCGAGAGTGCAACACATCACCCTACACCGAGAGAGCATTATCCAGCCACCATTGTTCTTAAATGATAATTGTCTCTTTGGTCTTTACAATTGAAAGTAAGACATAAAATGATCCATTTTGATACTTCCAGCCATACATTCCACCAATCATCAACAATAATAACTCACGCAAGGCACCGAATTGGGACCCCACATAGAAAGTAAAAACATCAAACAAGAACTAAGTTGGAAAACAATGCAACCTTAGATACATGATAAACCATTTAAACAAAAGAAAAAAGTGATCCTACCCACAGATTTAGGAAACTGCTGTTTGCCAGCCATAAGAGAGAAAAACTTATTATGCCCACAAAGGTATTCATGACATTTAACACCTACAAGAAAAAAGAGTAAGTCAATAGTCACACTTTCTATCATAAGGGAACCTTTAAGTTTTGAAGTCTATTGAACATATATTCAAGGAAAAAGGGAAAAAATGCATTTCTCAGATTTAGATTCATTCCCAAGGAAGCAGTAGATTGATAATACAATGAACTATCTGCAAAACCTCGGAAGAAGAAGATTTTTGTTTTAATTCCCATCTACAACTAAAAGATAGACATACTAAATCCATGGAGTTTAAACTAGAGAGCCAGAGAGTGCAGCTTTCATTGTTCTCATGGCAATGTGAGGGGCGCTATCCTTATTGACATAGATAGCCTGTCAGTACGATTTCCCTTAAGGTTGTGGAATTAAAAGATGTCAGCGAAATGGACTATGACTGGTCTTCAATTAACTCAGCAGCAGAGATGCTGTGTTGCTTGATAACATCAAACATTTACAAGGTTTTCTAACTTAAATCTAGAATTGTGTGTACCATACCAATAAATCCAAGTTAGCTTCTGTCATCTTTAAAAACTTTCCGTAGAAAAGAGTAAATGAGAAACTATTTATGGGAAGGAAAGTAACAATGTTACCCTGAATACCTCCGTCAGATAATAATCCAGTGCCAACTACCAGCATCATTATATCACACATCACATCTGGCATGAGCAGCACATTCTTTATGCTCCACCATTTAATAAGATATTAGAAATGCAGGCATAAGACATGTTATATATGCATTAATCAAATAACCAAGATATACAATAGCATGTCAACAAAAAAAAAATATAACAAGAAAGATTAAGAACTAATAAGAGTCCTGTTTAAAACAGGAAAATGTGGTTTAATATCGCAAGCTAGCCAAGTGGGCATCTGTTTGGTCTCTAATCTAATCTTCTATGGTGGGAAGTCCTCTCAGCATCCATTAACAAGGCAACTGAAAATCCAAGCTTTTATACAAAGATTCAGGTTCTGGGTATATCAAGGAATGACTCAAAACATGAAAACTTTAATTAGTACTAGAAATTCACTCACCTTTTCCCTTGGCTATTGAAGAACGTGATCGAGTAGTCTGCTTAGCTTTTAAAGCGAAAGTCAATTCATGTAGTTTAGACTTAATTTCTTTTGTGAGGTCGCCAGGTTTACTGCGTTGGAATTGAATTGTCCTCTGCTGAGGTTCCCAATAATAAGATTTCAACCAATCAAGTGCCTGAAATTGTCCGAATCAAGTTTAGCACGCTATATTATTTAACTATTTAAAATACTACGAGAACAGCCAAAGGTATCATTGCAGAAAATAGTACTAAATTTAAGGCACACAAAAGGTGTAAATTTCAGTCATATATGTCAAATCAACCTTTAAAATCGTAACGAATTTAGGAAAAGAGATATTCTCTTCGAATGTCAATCACTTCATCCTTCTATCTACAAAATCAGTGTGGCCTTTCTGATTTGGGTAGCAAAAATCAATGACCATAAGTGGGAAACTAAGCGAATGCCAAGTAGTCTTGGCTATCAGATTGTTTTCACTTCCCAAGTTAGCAGTGTTTCTGGAAATTAATGACATAATTTGTAATAACAGCAGTTCGCACTGTCTAACCAAATACTGGCATTTGACCCCTGATGGGCAACATGTTAAAACATTTATTGTGTTGTAAAAAACAGAAACTTGTGAATGTTTCCCTTATTCTAGCAAAGAATCCATCGCAAAAAGGACAGCATGCATTAGGTGCATGTACAGTCATACACAAATTAACAAGAACCCTGTGTTGTAGGCATATATGTAATATCAAACAACTAATAGGTAAATACTTCATCAAATCATATGAGATGTAGATAAGGATCACATATACCTTAACAGAGGCAAGACGAACCAGCCGAAGTGAAGGGAGATCACGATGAGATCCCTCTACGAATTAAAAGAAAAAAAATTATCAAATAACAAGCTAAACTTGCTTTTATTAATGTCATGTCAGGACCCAGTTTTGTAGGACAAACAAAGTACAGACATAGCACTGGAGTGACATCTAGCCACCTCACTGATATGGAAAAACCAAATGCAGCTTAAAAGAGGCAGGGTCATAGCACGACCTATTTTCCATGCTTTAGTGTTAGATCACTCAACACAAAACAACAATTATTTATCAGAATTGAAATGATTACTAAAAGTGAGATTAAATAAATAAACTAAACAGATTTAAGATTTTAAACTATGCACCAAACAGATATTCAAATTGCTTACCGTGACGAATATCAATCAGCATACGAGGAATACCAATTGCATCAGCCGCCTCGGCAATTGAAACCTCTGTCTTCTTGCGTGTCTTCTCCACAACACCATTTACAAGCCTTCAAAGATAAGATATAACCAGGTAAGCCCAATTTCTTCTTCAGGGGCCAAACATTCACAATGGAACAGTGCATAGATGCAACAACAAAATAAATATGATCTCTAACATGAAACTTATGCAAGCATCAACAGATTGTTGCAAGGTTAAAGAAATAATCCTTAAACACTGCAAAACCACCTCCACCAGCAAGCCCCGACCCATAAAAAAAAAAAACAAAGGAAGCTTAGAAGCAAGAAATCGAGCATATAAGACTTAGGGAGGGAAGGCAGAAAAACTAAAAGGAGTAGAAAAAATAATCAAATAGTTAAAAGCTTACCATAAACTTCCCAACATAAAAAACCTTATTCGTCGTTATATTCTACTCGTCAACCGGAGAGTTTCTACAAATCTTGAATTCCGTGATTCTGGTGAACATTTTCGTATTTTCCCTATGGAACATTATTTACAGTGTCAAGCAATTTCCAACACCATAGTAGCTAGACTAAGAAGAAGGTCATATGATACAACTGACCAATCATTGTCTACGGTTATTCAAGAATCAACATGCTATGCTTTCCACAGCCTCACCAAGTAGTTAAACAACAGTTCATTAAGGAAGTGCTTAAAGGAGGGAAACCGTAACTGATTTTTAGCATAGAAGAACATTATGTTTACACAATCAGTAGGACGTTTATGTCTTGGTTGAAGGCATTGGCATGGAATAAAGTAACTTAAGCTGTTAAATCTGGCCTTTTGGCTAAATTGCATTGGAGGTATGCCAAAGAGTATGGTGGCATTTATAGGAGGGTCCTTATATTACCATAGAGCTTTGCTATTCCGGATATTTTATCCTCTAAATTTCAATTTCTATCAATTATCCTCTCTCAATTGCTATTTTTTCCAATTTTGGTCAAGGTCAAATGGCCACAATTAAATTCACAGGATCCCAAGTGGATTCCTGTGGTCCCATTGAGACACCTAGTGGAACCTGTGGATGATTATATTAGACAGAAATTGAGAAAGTCAGAAATTAAGCAGATCCAAGATCTAACAGTATAGAAAGTCACCAAACAAAATAACACAAAAGTTGTTGAAATATTAAGTATATAAAAATTATTTACCTCATTATCGCCATGGAATATAGCATGACCAGCATCTCCTCTGATTGCAGACCATCCTCACTTAAGTCAACTCTATAATGAAATCAATAGCAAGTCTTAATATAAGTAATTTTCCTTTTTTTTGCTGTCAATAGTAAATCAGACCAAATAATTATAAATAGAACCGTACACATAATAAAATTATCCTAAACATCAACATAATGGTTACACCAATTTCACTAGCCAACTAAACAAATTTTGGACCAAAATTAAAAAGTTACCTAAAGAAAGGATCTTTCTGCTGGATTTCGATGAGGGAAGCTGTGACTTCGACCACAACGGGAACACATCCTCTGCCCCGCCAGGCCATTATCTAGAAAAATACAATGTTTTTCCATCGAACGGGTTATGTTTGTTTCTTGGGAAAACGTATATGATCCAAAAAAAAAGAAGAAGAAGGAATTCTATTTATTTATTGGCTTACTCTTTGGAGAGCTGAGGCCACGGAGTGTGGAGAAGAAGAGAAGAGAGACTCCCTGACGAAGTCCCACTCGTCCCAGCTAATCCAGGGGACCAATTTGTATCCGTAGGTTTTGTGTTCCATAACGTCATTTATGGTTGGTTCCTTAAACCCTAGCAATGACTCCATTGAGTATCAAAGAGATAGAGACGCAGACTGTTTCTGAACAGAGGTTTATCTATATGTAGATAGGGGTGCAACTCAAGACGATTCAGAGGTAATGAATCACTAATCAGAGTTCACGAACTCGATATTCCGAATACTGCCTCAAGTTTGAACTCAAATTCTACAATTCGGCTTAGACTTCGAATTGAAATTGGGTTAAACCAGAGATACAGAACAATAATCAAGACACGAAACGTCAGTATATTACTTAGCGCAAGATATACCAATTCAAAGAATCGATTGGTAAATCTGTATGTGCTGTAGAAACAATGCACAAGAGTGGGAGCGGAGGTTCCTTGATTCGTAAAGCCCTAGAAACTTCTTAGAACGTCTCCGTTTTCTCGTTGCCGTCGTCGTGGTTGGAGAGGGTGAGACAGCGCGAAAACATGTGTCTATGACAGAAGCGGGAAGACGAGGGTCCGAGAGTGTGAAAAAAGTAGACGAAGATTAGGGTTTTAAGCCCAACCCGAAAGCCCATTCTTCCATTCAATGTAAACAAACATTTACAAAACATATTTGTAACAAATAATTTTGAAAACACTAGCAAATTAGCGTGAAGTTCGTTGCACGTAAATACATTTAAATAATATTTTTTATAAAAAATTTGAGTTATATGAGTAATTAAATTAAAAAATAAATTAAGTGCCTAATAATTAATTCATATTTTAATTATTACTAAATTTAATTATTCATTTATTCTATAAGTCTTTGAATAACTAATCTATAAACAAATTTAAATAATATTTTTTATAAAAAACTTGAATTATATGAATAATTAAATTAAAGAATAAATTAAGTGTCTAATAATTAATTCGTATTTTAATTATTCAATTATTCTATAAGTCTTTGAATAACTAATCTATCATTTATTTAGTTATCTCTCAAATCCCTTTAGCCATTTATCTATCTAATTATATTACAGAATTATTAAGTTTTCTTTTGTTAAATAGATTGATCAGATCACCTATAATATTATTATATTATTTCATACTAAAAAATAAAATATAATAGATATTTGATCGTGTAATTCAAATTGATAATTACACGTGTATAATAAATTAATAGGTGGGTATAATTAACTTTAGTATAATAATTAAGGATAAAATAGAAAATAAAATTTTTTTCACAAATATTGACATTTACAAGTAGTATAAATATTTTAAAAACAAACTTGTGCATTAAAAAGTAATTTTAAACAAAAAGAATTAAACCCAATTTTTTTTTTAATAAAAATAATGTTAAATTAGAAAATAAGTTAAGAATAATTATAAACATATTAAAAATTAGAAGAAATTAATAATTAAGTCACGTTTCTGGGCCTGACTGAAAAACCAACAGGGGCCTAAAGGTTATCTTGTTGCAAGTTGCTGTGCAATTTATGAAGTCGCCGCCATGCATGTGTGGCCCAAACGCACCATTCTTAGGTCCGTATGTCATTTTTGATATTATGTGAAAATTCAAGTATAATATTAAAAAAAAATTGTAAATCATTATAAGCATAACTCTTTTAAGGTATAAAGGACACGCGCTTAAAACTTTTAAATTGTCAAGTCCAAATTAATATTAAAATTTTATTTTAATAACAAAATTACCCTTATTATAGTAACAATAATAACGACACAATAACAACAACAATCATTGTCACAATAACACGATCATACTAACAGTAATGCCCAAGTGGTACTCCCAGTCATCATCCTTTACATCCCACCCATTTGGGCATTGTTGTTAATATGATCGTGTTACTGTTACAACAATTGTTACTTTTATTGTGTCACTGTTATTGTTATCGTCTTGAAATTATTGTCTATTTTGTAATAGAACTATTTATTTTATTAAGGATAAATTAATCTTTGTATTTCTAATTGTCCTTTAAGCTCCAAAAATAATACGCCTGTTCTTCTTCCGAATGCCTTCAGGTATGGACCGACTTCCAAAAAGCCCAAGGGCTAACGGTGCAGATAATCCCAATGGGGGTATTTATATACATTTACAGTTTGCACATAAACACGTCGTTTTGTACTTTTTTTCCCCCAATGACTTTATAAGTGGGTCATTGTTATTCCAATGGCCACAAGTCTACTGATCTGGCATTAATTTTAAAAAACAATAAAAATAATTGAAAATCATGAAGGTTCCTAAAAACAATGAAAATAATAAATAAAAAAAACTTTACCAACACAAAAATGATCTGGCAAGGCCAACTTATAAACTTGGAGGATGTATATGGCGACGAGCAATGCTACATGAACTTAACAAGTAGATTTAAAAATTAAATTTGATAATTACAATCATTGATTTCACTGTAGGTTTCAGTATTTATTGAGACTCACTACCTATTCAATAATTGAGATTGTCAAGTCTAATTTTTAAGTCTATCTAGCATTACTTATATGACGACTAAGTGTTATTTCTTCAACTNAAACAAAATAACACAAAAGTTGTTGAAATATTAAGTATATAAAAATTATTTACCTCATTATCGCCATGGAATATAGCATGACCAGCATCTCCTCTGATTGCAGACCATCCTCACTTAAGTCAACTCTATAATGAAATCAATAGCAAGTCTTAATATAAGTAATTTTCCTTTTTTTTGCTGTCAATAGTAAATCAGACCAAATAATTATAAATAGAACCGTACACATAATAAAATTATCCTAAACATCAACATAATGGTTACACCAATTTCACTAGCCAACTAAACAAATTTTGGACCAAAATTAAAAAGTTACCTAAAGAAAGGATCTTTCTGCTGGATTTCGATGAGGGAAGCTGTGACTTCGACCACAACGGGAACACATCCTCTGCCCCGCCAGGCCATTATCTAGAAAAATACAATGTTTTTCCATCGAACGGGTTATGTTTGTTTCTTGGGAAAACGTATATGATCCAAAAAAAAAGAAGAAGAAGGAATTCTATTTATTTATTGGCTTACTCTTTGGAGAGCTGAGGCCACGGAGTGTGGAGAAGAAGAGAAGAGAGACTCCCTGACGAAGTCCCACTCGTCCCAGCTAATCCAGGGGACCAATTTGTATCCGTAGGTTTTGTGTTCCATAACGTCATTTATGGTTGGTTCCTTAAACCCTAGCAATGACTCCATTGAGTATCAAAGAGATAGAGACGCAGACTGTTTCTGAACAGAGGTTTATCTATATGTAGATAGGGGTGCAACTCAAGACGATTCAGAGGTAATGAATCACTAATCAGAGTTCACGAACTCGATATTCCGAATACTGCCTCAAGTTTGAACTCAAATTCTACAATTCGGCTTAGACTTCGAATTGAAATTGGGTTAAACCAGAGATACAGAACAATAATCAAGACACGAAACGTCAGTATATTACTTAGCGCAAGATATACCAATTCAAAGAATCGATTGGTAAATCTGTATGTGCTGTAGAAACAATGCACAAGAGTGGGAGCGGAGGTTCCTTGATTCGTAAAGCCCTAGAAACTTCTTAGAACGTCTCCGTTTTCTCGTTGCCGTCGTCGTGGTTGGAGAGGGTGAGACAGCGCGAAAACATGTGTCTATGACAGAAGCGGGAAGACGAGGGTCCGAGAGTGTGAAAAAAGTGGACGAAGATTAGGGTTTTAAGCCCAACCCGAAAGCCCATTCTTCCATTCAATGTAAACAAACATTTACAAAACATATTTGTAACAAATAATTTTGAAAACACTAGCAAATTAGCGTGAAGTTCGTTGCACGTAAATACATTTAAATAATATTTTTTATAAAAAATTTGAGTTATATGAGTAATTAAATTAAAAAATAAATTAAGTGCCTAATAATTAATTCATATTTTAATTATTACTAAATTTAATTATTCATTTATTCTATAAGTCTTTGAATAACTAATCTATAAACAAATTTAAATAATATTTTTTATAAAAAACTTGAATTATATGAATAATTAAATTAAAGAATAAATTAAGTGTCTAATAATTAATTCGTATTTTAATTATTCAATTATTCTATAAGTCTTTGAATAACTAATCTATCATTTATTTAGTTATCTCTCAAATCCCTTTAGCCATTTATCTATCTAATTATATTACAGAATTATTAAGTTTTCTTTTGTTAAATAGATTGATCAGATCACCTATAATATTATTATATTATTTCATACTAAAAAATAAAATATAATAGATATTTGATCGTGTAATTCAAATTGATAATTACACGTGTATAATAAATTAATAGGTGGGTATAATTAACTTTAGTATAATAATTAAGGATAAAATAGAAAATAAAATTTTTTTCACAAATATTGACATTTACAAGTAGTATAAATATTTTAAAAACAAACTTGTGCATTAAAAAGTAATTTTAAACAAAAAGAATTAAACCCAATTTTTTTTTAATAAAAATAATGTTAAATTAGAAAATAAGTTAAGAATAATTATAAACATATTAAAAATTAGAAGAAATTAATAATTAAGTCACGTTTCTGGGCCTGACTGAAAAACCAACAGGGGCCTAAAGGTTATCTTGTTGCAAGTTGCTGTGCAATTTATGAAGTCGCCGCCATGCATGTGTGGCCCAAACGCACCATTCTTAGGTCCGTATGTCATTTTTGATATTATGTGAAAATTCAAGTATAATATTAAAAAAAAATTGTAAATCATTATAAGCATAACTCTTTTAAGGTATAAAGGACACGCGCTTAAAACTTTTAAATTGTCAAGTCCAAATTAATATTAAAATTTTATTTTAATAACAAAATTACCCTTATTATAGTAACAATAATAACGACACAATAACAACAACAATCATTGTCACAATAACACGATCATACTAACAGTAATGCCCAAGTGGTACTCCCAGTCATCATCCTTTACACCCCACCCATTTGGGCATTGTTGTTAATATGATCGTGTTACTGTTACAACAATTGTTACTTTTATTGTGTCACTGTTATTGTTATCGTCTTGAAATTATTGTCTATTTTGTAATAGAACTATTTATTTTATTAAGGATAAATTAATCTTTGTATTTCTAATTGTCCTTTAAGCTCCAAAAATAATACGCCTGTTCTTCTTCCGAATGCCTTCAGGTATGGACCGACTTCCAAAAAGCCCAAGGGCTAACGGTGCAGATAATCCCAATGGGGGTATTTATATACATTTACAGTTTGCACATAAACACGTCGTTTTGTACTTTTTTTCCCCCAATGACTTTATAAGTGGGTCATTGTTATTCCAATGGCCACAAGTCTACTGATCTGGCATTAATTTTAAAAAACAATAAAAATAATTGAAAATCATGAAGGTTCCTAAAAACAATGAAAATAATAAATAAAAAAAACTTTACCAACACAAAAATGATCTGGCAAGGCCAACTTATAAACTTGGAGGATGTATATGGCGACGAGCAATGCTACATGAACTTAACAAGTAGATTTAAAAATTAAATTTGATAATTACAATCATTGATTTCACTGTAGGTTTCAGTATTTATTGAGACTCACTACCTATTCAATAATTGAGATTGTCAAGTCTAATTTTTAAGTCTATCTAGCATTACTTATATGACGACTAAGTGTTATTTCTTCAACTTAACAGAAGTTTTATCTCTCTATTGGTCGTCAATTTTCTCAAACTCGGTTAAACTTAACTATCAATGATTAGATTAAATTTGTTGGGATTCCTAGAGGGTAGCTATAAAATTAACATCTAGTTAGACCATAAATCAATATAAAAATTAGGGCCTTTTAAAACAATTTTTTTTACCGTGACAACGTTTGTCGTCACAAAAAAAATGTAGGGAAAAAATAAATTTCTAGCATAAAAAGATTATTTGCTGTTGCAAATATTATTTAAGACGGTAGTTGCTGTCATAAAGACTTTTTGAAATTACACTTAATATGACAAGTCATGCTATTACAATATTTTGCCGCAATAAGTGAAGATTCAAAAAATCTTTGTAACGGTAATATCCTGTCTCAAATAGTTTTTAGGGAACAAATAAATTTTTTATAATTGCATTATCATCACAAAAAAACTTTTTTTTCCTCTAAAATATCACCTTTTATAACAATGAACACTAATGTCGCAAAGAATTTGTGTCAAACATCCTTAATTCTTGTCGTAGTGAATGTAGTAATTAATAATTTACTAAATTACTTTTTAAATTGATGATCCGATGAAATCTTGTGTCGTATAAAGGGATTCTGGTCAAACGATTCGACTTGTGGTGGAGAAATGTAGGTGTTTGAATCTATATCTGGGAACATGGTCAAAGTTTGACCGACCATGTGAATTTATGATGTGATAGATGCATGTATGATCACTTTTTTTTTTTTATTGAAAAAGGGTTGGATGNGTGACGAATATCAATCAGCATACGAGGAATACCAATTGCATCAGCTGCCTCGGCAATTGAAACCTCTGTCTTCTTGCGTGTCTTCTCCACAACACCATTTACANATGACGAATATCAATCAGCATACGAGGAATACCAATTGCATCAGCCGCCTCGGCAATTGAAACCTCTGTCTTCTTGCGTGTCTTCTCCACAACACCATTTACAAGCCTTCAAAGATAAGATATAACCAGGTAAGCCCAATTTCTTCTTCAGGGGCCAAACATTCACAATGGAACAGTGCATAGATGCAACAACAAAATAAATATGATCTCTAACATGAAACTTATGCAAGCATCAACAGATTGTTGCAAGGTTAAAGAAATAATCCTTAAACACTGCAAAACCACCTCCACCAGCAAGCCCCGACCCATAAAAAAAAAAAACAAAGGAAGCTTAGAAGCAAGAAATCGAGCATATAAGACTTAGGGAGGGAAGGCAGAAAAACTAAAAGGAGTAGAAAAAATAATCAAATAGTTAAAAGCTTACCATAAACTTCCCAACATAAAAAACCTTATTCGTCGTTATATTCTACTCGTCAACCGGAGAGTTTCTACAAATCTTGAATTCCGTGATTCTGGTGAACATTTTCGTATTTTCCCTATGGAACATTATTTACAGTGTCAAGCAATTTCCAACACCATAGTAGCTAGACTAAGCAGAAGGTCATATGATACAACTGACCAATCATTGTCTACGGTTATTCAAGAATCAACATGCTATGCTTTCCACAGCCTCACCAAGTAGTTAAACAACAGTTCATTAAGGAAGTGCTTAAAGGAGGGAAACCGTAACTGATTTTTAGCATAGAAGAACATTATGTTTACACAATCAGTAGGACGTTTATGTCTTGGTTGAAGGCATTGGCATGGAATAAAGTAACTTAAGCTGTTAAATCTGGCCTTTTGGCTAAATTGCATTGGAGGTATGCCAAAGAGTATGGTGGCATTTATAGGAGGGTCCTTATATTACCATAGAGCTTTGCTATTCCGGATATTTTATCCTCTAAATTTCAATTTCTATCAATTATCCTCTCTCAATTGCTATTTTTTCCAATTTTGGTCAAGGTCAAATGGCCACAATTAAATTCACAGGATCCCAAGTGGATTCCTGTGGTCCCATTGAGACACCTAGTGGAACCTGTGGATGATTATATTAGACAGAAATTGAGAAAGTCAGAAATTAAGCAGATCCAAGATCTAACAGTATAGAAAGTCACCAAACAAAATAACACAAAAGTTGTTGAAATATTAAGTATATAAAAATTATTTACCTCATTATCGCCATGGAATATAGCATGACCAGCATCTCCTCTGATTGCAGACCATCCTCACTTAAGTCAACTCTATAATGAAATCAATAGCAAGTCTTAATATAAGTAATTTTCCTTTTTTTTGCTGTCAATAGTAAATCAGACCAAATAATTATAAATAGAACCGTACACATAATAAAATTATCCTAAACATCAACATAATGGTTACACCAATTTCACTAGCCAACTAAACAAATTTTGGACCAAAATTAAAAAGTTACCTAAAGAAAGGATCTTTCTGCTGGATTTCGATGAGGGAAGCTGTGACTTCGACCACAACGGGAACACATCCTCTGCCCCGCCAGGCCATTATCTAGAAAAATACAATGTTTTTCCATCGAACGGGTTATGTTTGTTTCTTGGGAAAACGTATATGATCCAAAAAAAAAGAAGAAGAAGGAATTCTATTTATTTATTGGCTTACTCTTTGGAGAGCTGAGGCCACGGAGTGTGGAGAAGAAGAGAAGAGAGACTCCCTGACGAAGTCCCACTCGTCCCAGCTAATCCAGGGGACCAATTTGTATCCGTAGGTTTTGTGTTCCATAACGTCATTTATGGTTGGTTCCTTAAACCCTAGCAATGACTCCATTGAGTATCAAAGAGATAGAGACGCAGACTGTTTCTGAACAGAGGTTTATCTATATGTAGATAGGGGTGCAACTCAAGACGATTCAGAGGTAATGAATCACTAATCAGAGTTCACGAACTCGATATTCCGAATACTGCCTCAAGTTTGAACTCAAATTCTACAATTCGGCTTAGACTTCGAATTGAAATTGGGTTAAACCAGAGATACAGAACAATAATCAAGACACGAAACGTCAGTATATTACTTAGCGCAAGATATACCAATTCAAAGAATCGATTGGTAAATCTGTATGTGCTGTAGAAACAATGCACAAGAGTGGGAGCGGAGGTTCCTTGATTCGTAAAGCCCTAGAAACTTCTTAGAACGTCTCCGTTTTCTCGTTGCCGTCGTCGTGGTTGGAGAGGGTGAGACAGCGCGAAAACATGTGTCTATGACAGAAGCGGGAAGACGAGGGTCCGAGAGTGTGAAAAAAGTAGACGAAGATTAGGGTTTTAAGCCCAACCCGAAAGCCCATTCTTCCATTCAATGTAAACAAACATTTACAAAACATATTTGTAACAAATAATTTTGAAAACACTAGCAAATTAGCGTGAAGTTCGTTGCACGTAAATACATTTAAATAATATTTTTTATAAAAATTTTGAGTTATATGAGTAATTAAATTAAAAAATAAATTAAGTGCCTAATAATTAATTCATATTTTAATTATTACTAAATTTAATTATTCATTTATTCTATAAGTCTTTGAATAACTAATCTATAAACAAATTTAAATAATATTTTTTATAAAAAACTTGAATTATATGAATAATTAAATTAAAGAATAAATTAAGTGTCTAATAATTAATTCGTATTTTAATTATTCAATTATTCTATAAGTCTTTGAATAACTAATCTATCATTTATTTAGTTATCTCTCAAATCCCTTTAGCCATTTATCTATCTAATTATATTACAGAATTATTAAGTTTTCTTTTGTTAAATAGATTGATCAGATCACCTATAATATTATTATATTATTTCATACTAAAAAATAAAATATAATATATATTTGATCGTGTAATTCAAATTGATAATTACACGTGTATAATAATTTAATAGGTGGGTATAATTAAATTTAGTATAATAATTAAGGATAAAATAGAAAATACATTTTTTTCACAAATATTGACATTTACAAGTAGTATAAATATTTTAAAAACAAACTTGTGCATTAAAAAGTAATTTTAAACAAAAAGAATTAAACCCAATTTTTTTTTAATAAAAATAATGTTAAATTAGAAAATAAGTTAAGAATAATTATAAACATATTAAAAATTAGAAGAAATTAATAATTAAGTCACGTTTCTGGGCCTGACTGAAAAACCAACAGGGGCCTAAAGGTTATCTTGTTGCAAGTTGCTGTGCAATTTATGAAGTCGCCGCCATGCATGTGTGGCCCAAACGCACCATTCTTAGGTCCGTATGTCATTTTTGATATTATGTGAAAATTCAAGTATAATATTAAAAAAAAATTGTAAATCATTATAAGCATAACTCTTTTAAGGTATAAAGGACACGCGCTTAAAACTTTTAAATTGTCAAGTCCAAATTAATATTAAAATTTTATTTTAATAACAAAATTACCCTTATTATAGTAACAATAATAACGACACAATAACAACAACAATCATTGTCACAATAACACGATCATACTAACAGTAATGCCCAAGTGGTACTCCCAGTCATCATCCTTTACACCCCACCCATTTGGGCATTGTTGTTAATATGATCGTGTTACTGTTACAACAATTGTTACTTTTATTGTGTCACTGTTATTGTTATCGTCTTGAAATTATTGTCTATTTTGTAATAGAACTATTTATTTTATTAAGGATAAATTAATCTTTGTATTTCTAATTGTCCTTTAAGCTCCAAAAATAATACGCCTGTTCTTCTTCCGAATGCCTTCAGGTATGGACCGACTTCCAAAAAGCCCAAGGGCTAACGGTGCAGATAATCCCAATGGGGGTATTTATATACATTTACAGTTTGCACATAAACACGTCGTTTTGTACTTTTTTTCCCCCAATGACTTTATAAGTGGGTCATTGTTATTCCAATGGCCACAAGTCTACTGATCTGGCATTAATTTTAAAAAACAATAAAAATAATTGAAAATCATGAAGGTTCCTAAAAACAATGAAAATAATAAATAAAAAAAACTTTACCAACACAAAAATGATCTGGCAAGGCCAACTTATAAACTTGGAGGATGTATATGGCGACGAGCAATGCTACATGAACTTAACAAGTAGATTTAAAAATTAAATTTGATAATTACAATCATTGATTTCACTGTAGGTTTCAGTATTTATTGAGACTCACTACCTATTCAATAATTGAGATTGTCAAGTCTAATTTTTAAGTCTATCTAGCATTACTTATATGACGACTAAGTGTTATTTCTTCAACTTAACAGAAGTTTTATCTCTCTATTGGTCGTCAATTTTCTCAAACTCGGTTAAACTTAACTATCAATGATTAGATTAAATTTGTTGGGATTCCTAGAGGGTAGCTATAAAATTAACATCTAGTTAGACCATAAATCAATATAAAAATTAGGGCCTTTTAAAACAATTTTTTTTACCGTGACAACGTTTGTCGTCACAAAAAAAATGTAGGGAAAAAATAAATTTCTAGCATAAAAAGATTATTTGCTGTTGCAAATATTATTTAAGACGGTAGTTGCTGTCATAAAGACTTTTTGAAATTACACTTAATATGACAAGTCATGCTATTACAATATTTTGCCGCAATAAGTGAAGATTCAAAAAATCTTTGTAACGGTAATATCCTGTCTCAAATAGTTTTTAGGGAACAAATAAATTTTTTATAATTGCATTATCATCACAAAAAAACTTTTTTTTCCTCTAAAATATCACCTTTTATAACAATGAACACTAATGTCGCAAAGAATTTGTGTCAAACATCCTTAATTCTTGTCGTAGTGAATGTAGTAATTAATAATTTACTAAATTACTTTTTAAATTGATGATCCGATGAAATCTTGTGTCGTATAAAGGGATTCTGGTCAAACGATTCGACTTGTGGTGGAGAAATGTAGGTGTTTGAATCTATATCTGGGAACATGGTCAAAGTTTGACCGACCATGTGAATTTATGATGTGATAGATGCATGTATGATCACTTTTTTTTTTTATTGAAAAAGGGTTGGATGAAAGAGAGTTTGCAGTCATCATTCTGATAAGTTTATATTAGTGAAATTATAAAATTTTTGATCGTTTTCGTTAATTTTTTGAAAAATAAATTTAATAATTAATTATTATATTTAATTAAATTAATATAACAATTAATCATTAAATTTTAATATAAACTCCAAACCGCGAACATCTAATATCTCACTCAACCACCCATTTGGTATTCACGGCCACTTGAGAAAGTGAGCTAGCTAGTGAAACCGCATCATATGGGTTCTCTCTTGTCTTCTTTAGCGACCGAACCTTTGGGAATCCAGATGGAGCAAAAAGAAGCAATCATTTTCCTTTAGCAAAAAGCCAGTTTTGTGGACCGATATATCGTATATATATGCAATATGCTTCTCATGTCTGGAGGAAAAGCCGAAAAGGGGAATGCTATGTCTAAGGTGTCATCTGGCCAGTTTTTTACTATGCAAAAAATATTCTTACATTTTCTATTTTTCATCAAAAAATAAAAAAAAATGTGAAGAGAGAGAAAAGGAGAGAGGATGATAATGATCTGACAATATTATTGTAATTGTAATTATAATTATTTGTTTTGATATTATTGATTGATGACACTACGTCAACATTGCCACGTGGTACCATCTTTGTGATGAATATTTTCTCGCATATTAGAGTGTTGTTGATACTTTTCTAGCAATTTTATAATCTAAATATCAAAGAGTAATGTTATTAGAATCTAAAAAAATAATTTAATTTGTTGATGTGGTGATATAACAATGACAGAGTCTAATAAGATTCCTGTGACGATAATTATTGGACCTCTGCATTAGAACATTATCATTAGACTATTCGAGGCATTATATCAACAAATTAATTGTTTTTTAAGTTGCAGTACTCAATAGTAACTACAAAGAAGATTTCACACTGCCCTACAGGCTGGCATGGATAACTCTAAGTCCCACCATGCAAGTAGCTATCCTTTCTCACGTGTAAATGCCCTTGCTTTTGACCATTTTTGAGGTTCTAAGAATAAAAGACTTTTCTTTTTCCATGGTGTTTACTGAGAGAGAGAGAGGGCCGTGGGGGGGGGGGGGGGGGGGGGGNTTTTATCCTCTTAATTTCAATTTCTATCAATTATCCTCTCTCAATTGCTATTTTTTCCAATTTTGGTCAACGTCAAATGGCCACAATTAAATTCACAGGATCCCAAGTGGATTCCTGTGGTCCCATTGAGACACCTAGTGGAACCTGTGGATGATTATATTAGACAGAAATTGAGAAAGTCAGAAATTAAGCAGATCCAAGATCTAACAGTATAGAAAGTCACCAAAACAAAATAACACAAAAGTTGTTGAAATATTAAGTATATAAAAATTATTTACCTCATTATCGCCATGGAATATAGCATGACCAGCATCTCCTCTGATTGCAGACCATCCTCACTTAAGTCAACTCTATAATGAAATCAATAGCAAGTCTTAATATAAGTAATTTTCCTTTTTTTTGCTGTCAATAGTAAATCAGACCAAATAATTATAAATAGAACCGTACACATAATAAAATTATCCTAAACATCAACATAATGGTTACACCAATTTCACTAGCCAACTAAACAAATTTTGGACCAAAATTAAAAAGTTACCTAAAGAAAGGATCTTTCTGCTGGATTTCGATGAGGGAAGCTGTGACTTCGACCACAACGGGAACACATCCTCTGCCCCGCCAGGCCATTATCTAGAAAAATACAATGTTTTTCCATCGAACGGGTTATGTTTGTTTCTTGGGAAAACGTATA